GAAAAAAGGTACGAACTTTGAATTTAGCACAACAAACTTTGCTTACGACTAGCAAGAACATCAGAATTGGCCAGACGGCCAGATACGTAACCAAAGTTCGTTATGCTGAATTCAAAGTTCGTACCTTTTTTTTGCAATTTTCAAATTTCTCTGACTGCCTGTTTCTCCTACTCTCTCGCCTGAATATTGTTCAGCGTGGCAGTCAGAACATCAAGCTTAATGCAGTGGTCGGATTCATGATATTCTTTTGGATGTATGTTATCACCAGCTACTCAGTGATGGTCCTGAAATACTAAACGACTTTCTTCAGTAGGACGCGCCCTGCAGATGAGGAAAAAGGGGGAAAAACAGCAAATTCCTTCGTCGGTGCCTACTTTTCTCTTTGTTAACCGTGAAGTATTTGTGGACAAGAAACATTTTTTTTCTTTTAGTTGTGGTTAGCACTGGAAAAAATGTGACGAGGAAGGTAATAGAAATATGGCGCTTCCATCTGTTTACTTATTTACGTCATTCAACGAAAGCAGAGTAATTATCAGATAGGCACACGAGATGCATAAAGGAGTACCAGCTAAGACATTTGTGGATCATACTTATAATATTGAAAGTTTCTTTAAGATAGCGCTTTAATTTTACTACTTATCCACATAAAGTCAGCAGTTATGTGATATGCCTCAGAGTTATAAAGATAAGGTGCACAATTCTATAAATGACTCTTTCGAGTTTCTGCAACACTCAGCGGACAATTGATGTGCCTATCTCGTCACTCCAAAAACAAATTAATTTTTTGCTTTTATGTTCCTCAATTGTTGGAGCACTAGTTAACGATGCAGTCATTTAGAAAAAAAGATTTTTTACAAAATGCATAAGGTTTTTGGTAGTGACGACGTAATAACGTACTAAAACTGCTAACTGGACAAAATTGTCGTACTTGGTGGCTTGAAAAGATTTTATGAATACAACAGTCACCGAAATGGCTAATTGTAGGAAACAATTGCATCAGAAATTGCTAGTTTCAAGGATAATACTGTGTATATTGCGAAAAAACCGTTCTAGGATACTAAATAATTAAAAGAAAAACCAACCTAGTGCTGTAGTTTTCTACACTTTTATGTTTCATCCTCTTTCTTTTGGTAAATTTTATGTACCTAAAAAACCTTTATATATTTTTTAAAAAAACAATTGATCAAAGAGGCAGACAAGAGAAACAATGCTTCGGAAAAATAAACCAGTATTTTGTTATGTCGATTGTTTTTTTTTTTTGAATCTGTTAAATTTTGTTACAAATGACCATATTGTGAGTAGGTCTTTTTGGTTATCAGTGGTCTTCATCTTAGTCTATGTCGATGACGATATCAAATTTGACACAAATCTCAACGATCGACTGCTGCCAGAGTTTTGTCACTAATCGCTGATATTAGTTTAAAACACAAAAGCCTTTTCTTTTTGCGTCTTTTCGCAGCAAAAAAACTAGATTTAAATTCATCTATTCTCTATCCAGCTGGATTCCCTTGGGTCTACGTTACTCCGCTAAAGAGCTCGTACTAAGGTACAGTAGCAGACAGCTGCCACGACAGAGGGCAGTGATATACAGGGTGGTAATCGTTTGTGAACTTTTTGAAGAAACTACGTAGATTTTTGCTTGACAGTTTTGAATAGGTCTTTTAGACTCTCTTTTTAAACTTTTATTTTCAATTTAATGGTTGAAGCTGCTTTCTTTTTTATTTTGCATCACTTGGATAAAAAAATTTTTAACACGATATCAAAGAGACTTTATGAGAGTTATCTAGAAACTTGCCAAGTTTCTTTCTTTTTTCATTTATAACAGACCGTGGGCTACGTATGTTCGTCAAATGCAAGTCCACATCGCAGTCATTGTTGGACTGACATTGGCTAGCAGTTTTGGCGTCGATGCCGTTACCGCCTTTCGTAGAAAAAAGTTGGTGTTAACAATCCCAAAATTTTAGCACAAGCGACGTTTGACTAACAAATTAAAGTTTTTTTCGAAATTTGTCTGTATGTTGTTGAACGGTTATTCCTTCTTGATACGTTAAACGCTGTTAAGTCAATCAGTTTTATTTAACTTGGTAGCTTTTCAAAGATTTTTTTTTTGAAAAAAATTGTATCTTGGGATAATCTTTTGCCAATCTCAGTTTCGAAAATCAAAGAGACGTTGTCGAAGAAAACAAAATTGGAAGAAATGATGTTGCACGCCAACGTTACAAGGAGCGCCTTATGAGCGCTCTACAGCATCTCTCATTACAGCTGAATACAACGATCTGCGATGAGCTCATAGACGATAACGTATCCTACAAGAGAAGAGTGGAGGCAGTCGAAAAGGCCCAAAAATGGCGATATATATTTGACAAAAGTAAATTGATATATAAAGCAAAAAAAAAGTAAACTTTTCTCGCTAAGTGCTCTAAACTTTACCTATTATTTAAATGGCGACACGAAATGTACTGACATTTCACACTGGCATTTTAGTCTTAAATAAAAACGTCTAAAAATTGAAACTTTTTCAGTGTTTCAGCAAAACATTTACTGAGAAAAAATTTTTTAAAATATTTTTTACATGGTTCACTAATAACAGAAGATAATAACCTAAGTTTTTTTGAATAATACCGTTGTCTATATTAATATCTTCTCTTAAAAAAACTGTTCTGTAAAATATCTGAAGCACATAAAGTAATAACGAAAAAGATTTTTAACATAATTTTACAAGTATTTTAGATGCGAAACGTTGAAGACGGTTTTTGGTTTTAATGAAAGACCACTTTCCGATGAAGAGGCTGAATACCCATTAGCTTATGGAATTGTTGCCTACAAGCATATAGATCAGGTAAAAGATCTAAAGTAATACATATTAAAGTTTTCAGTTGAAAAACAGATAAGTTTTCGCTGGCAATTTAAAAAGAGCAATTTTTTGGATAAAATTACTACTGATTTTTTCAGTACTTAATGCTTCCTGAAAAGTGCTCTTTCTCAGTAAGTCTTTCGTAAAATGTTGACTTACAGCTACACAACTGTCATCAGCAAGTTTCATATCTAAAGATGATTGTTTTTGCAGGAGTAAAACTTCTGTTCTAGATAGATCTTCAGACCGCTAAAGAAGAACTGAAAATTGTAGTTTTAAAAGTGAACCAAATTGTAGCAATTTTCTTATCAGGCGTCTTTGCCACTAATTCCCTTTAGCAGCTTTGAGTCACACAAAAGTTTAAGCAGAGACAGAGTATAACACTTTTAGCAGTTTTAAAAAAAATTTTGTTACTGCTACATGCTAAAAAGCTATTTAAATTTAATAGATTTTTTGCTGCTACTTTGTGATAAGTACTGAATGGTTTATAAAAACCTCTCTATCTTTTTTCTTATTTTTAACAAAATTTTGCCATATTTTAGCAGATAGCAATGTTACCGGCAAGTTGGATGAAGATCACTAGCTTATGTGAGTTCAAGAGTTTTTTGGTCTATTCTGATTTTTTTTCAGATATATTATATGTTAAGTGCATTTTACCATCCACAAAACCTGTACTGTATCGCTTTAGACAGTAAAGCTTCATTTGTCTACAAAAAACAGGTCGATCTATTACAGCTATGTTTTCCGAACATACGAGTTATTGTAAGAAATTCGCACATTATGTCACTAAAACAATGCTCAATTTCTTACCAGTTATGACTGTGAAACTTGCACTGCATTTACAATACGCCTGAAAAAGCAATATCAATAGCACATAAGAAAGCTGTTTTTGTTATTTTAGCACATTGATATGAAAATCGAATGGTGCGAATACGGAATACTTCGAGGAGTAATGTCATGTGTAGAATATTTAGTACAGTCTTCCAATAAGTGGAAATATTACCAAGTAAGATTTATTGTCAATAGCTAAATGATATATACTGTCAAATAATCTAACAGAATATCAACTGCAGTACTTGTCTGGTTTTGATCTTCCGATTAAAACAAATCACGAAATGGTTCGTATATTTAAGCAACTTAATAATACAATAAATATGGAAATTTTGCGTTTTCCTGCTTATCGTTACGGATCCAAAAAGGTAGGTTTTTTTTTGAGCTTCAGTGGTATTTAAAATATTTAGGATAGCTTTTGCGAGATCGATTTCTGCGAATACACCCGGTCATCTGGAAACTGACTCAGAAGGAGTGAGTGCGTGTGAGGCAAAAGAAACTGGTCAATGTATAATCGAAAATTTCTTTTCCTGTTGTTACAGAGACCCGTACCGTACGGCATGAATATGTTCAAAAGCAGCGTGTCTGCATTGATCCCGCATAGAGTGGCGAAAGAGATGGTTGAAAATGAGAAAGCTGTTGCACTTTACAAGTATTTAAACGGGACCATCTGCCCTGACGAATCATTCTGGTTGACAGCAGCAGGAAACAAAAAAAGTAAAATCGTTATCTTTTCTCTTTTTTTTCCATTTCCTAACAATTCATCAATTACCAAACCATCTTGAACTTATTATAGAGACACCATTTGATTTATTAAAGCAGAATAATGCATTCGTTTTTTCTGATAAACTGTTTGCTTAAAATTTTAGCAGAATAAAACTTGTTTTTGACAAGAAAAAGCGCAAATACAATTAGTCGACTGAAAATGAAAAGGATAACATGAAAAAAGCTGACTTTCTGTGTCAGTTTTGAATAACTTCAATTTAGTTTTCCCAATGCCCGGTTCGATCAATGCAACCAAATGGCTCGATTTTTTGGAGTATAGACGAAGTATCGAAGTTGCCAGAAACCTTCCAATACCATACTACATTTCCAGGTTTCAAGTCTGGGAAAATTCTGGCTTTTCAAAATTGTGTCAGGGTAGGTAGCCTCTTCCAACTCATTTCATCATTCAGGGAGCTTACTCATCTTTCATTTATTGTTAGAGGACTATGAAGACTTTAAATTTAAAAATACTAATGACGCCGTGACTAAAGCAACTGATATTACCAAACTGACAGCACCTTATCTTAGTTTTTCTGATTACAGTACAGAATAAAATTCAGTAAGCCATATTCAATGTCAAAAGGCGTGACTGGCTTGACTGACTTCTGCTTTCTTAGGTAAAATTGTTTCCGGATCTTGCGTATTCGGTGTAAAAGACATACCAATATTAGTAAAACGACCCGAATTAGTTGTCCACAAACTCTACTTAAACTACCAACCGGCAGCATATTTTTGTTTCTACAAATATGTTAGAGAACGAGCGCTTGGCAACATAACCGACTTCAATCCCAAACCCTATGCTGAAATACCATTTGTCGCTGTTTCTAAGGGTGCTCGAGTGGAAGACGTTCTGTTCCCACTAGAAAATCAGGATCATTACTGGTGACATCTTACAGAACAAAGGTTTATTTTTGTTACTGCGTTAGCTGTATTACCTTATAATTATTCAAATGTTGATGAATCTAACCACTAAATAACGGTCCCATGAGTCAGGTTATCGCCACTTGTAAAAATAAAAAAATTGGAAGTAGCAACAGTGAATTGTGCTGTGGCAAAAGGTTTATTGTTCTCCAGCCGATAAAAGATTGAAATAATTACATTCAGTATCACAATTGGCAATTAAAAGTTGCTGAAAACTCCCGCGAGTCACACATTAACCACATCCCCATTTGCAAAGAAAAACTAGTACAATACCAGAAAAGCATTTCACCGACATGTTGCAAAAAATAATGATAAAAGGAAATTCCTGATTGTTGATCTAGATGTTACATATGCAGTTTGCTTGAAACTGCACTTAATAGAGTATATTATTACCTGTTGAATGTTGAGAATCCGCTGCTATGCGAGATCTTACAGGCAATACTAATTAACGACATAAAGCGATAAATTGAAATATACCATCGACAAACTAGAAGCATCTATAGGGCCACAAACAAACAGGAAATAACTTTAGGAACATCAGTAAGTGGTGGCAGAAAAATTTAGAACGCTTGATATACGAAGTATTGTGAATTACTTCTTACAGTGTATAGAGCCTTTTCAGACGTTTGGTTCCTGCCCTCATAATGTTTCAGTGCCATACCACATTTATTCGTCTGCTCAAAAGAAACAACCTCGTAGTTCCTCTAACCAACAAATTCGACAAGAGACGCACATCAGTAACGAGCAAATGGTAGAGCTTGTCGGTACAAAAATTTTCAAAGTAATAATCGTTTCCCGAATAGGACAGTAACAATAACAGATGGTAAAGCATTTTACTCTTTGTCAGAATCCAACGAAAAGTGACGCAAAACTACAAAAAGTTAGTCAACAAGCAAAGAAAAGTTTTCAAACAGAAAGAAAATGATTTAAAAATTTACTAACAGAAGACAAGTATCGCCGCCCATATTGTTTTGTACCTTGCTGAAACTACGTAAGAGTAGCGGTGTATTAAAAATAAAGCTTAGATAAATCAAAATTGATCAATAAAACTTTGAATGCAATTGAATTCATAACAAAAAAGTAACAGTAAACCATTTAACAATGGTAACAACTTTACCTAAAGTCATTTTTTAACCAATAATTCTTCGTGCTAATTTACATGACTAGAAAAACCCTTCAGAATTTTATGTCACTTAAATCATATAACTACTTTTTTTCCAAATAAAGCCATATGAACGTTCGGTTTTAGTAAGGAGAAACCCCTTATCGCAGTTTAAAATCCGCATTCAAAACAAAACAATTATAACGTCTTCTTAAACACGTTTCATTTAAGCTTCTGACCACAACTTTTGCCAAATATAATAAGTGATCATTAACTCAAAAATGTCATGCTAAATGACTGAGTGAAAGAAAAAGAAAAAAAAGAAAAATTTTCAACGCATCATGAACAATAACACAATAAATTAAAATTTACTAAGTTATTCACATACAAATTTTTTTTTCTTCTCTCCTTCTGACAGTGAAATAATTTTTTCTGATTAATAATGTGAGACCTTGTACTATATACCGAGTGCAATTGTTTGAGCAGATCAATAAGGCAAAATTTCCCCTGTATTCTTGATAAATGAACCCGAATGTTCTTGACGTAGTGTTAAGGCTGTTTCAACCTGTTTCTTCGTCGATTCCTCAACCTGCAGAACAGTTTGACATACCTCCAGCATTTCAAATATGAAAAAAGAAACAAGCATAGTTACAGTATTAGTAAAATCAAGAAAACTTTTACTCATTACACTCAGAAAATCCTTAGAAAATTTCTGTAGAAGACTTTAGATTGGTAGTATAACCATCATTCTTCTCGAACCAAATGCTTTGTTATGTAAGCCTTAGCAAGCAAGAGAATAAGCATTGAAAACTGTTCTAGGCAAGAAAATCAAAACATTTACGCTGTATGTAGCGCCAGAGCCTCCCATATCTGTACGACACCACCCCGGATCCATCGATACTACTAAGATAGCATTTGGAGTAAAATCAACTGCCAGCGTTTTGGTCAGCTGGTTAAGAGCAGTCTGAATTAGAGAAAAACAATAAATTTTTTCTCGTTTAACAACCAATAGCTATAATAATTATAATTAAAAAAATTCTAATAATTTGGTGATAAACAGTATCTACACATATACTGTACCTCACTAACAGTATCTTAAATCGTAAGAATAATTAAAAAAAAAAATTCTTTACTGACTTTTGAAAGACCATACGGAATATTTTTTACATATTTTGTTCCACCATTATTCAATGAAATTGAGCCAAGTGCACTACTGATATTAATAATTGCTGCTCTATGAACGCCCCATTCTTTTGAGACAGAATTTTCTGATGCAAGTTTTAACAATGCATAAAATGCCTGTAAGATAACCAAATATTTTTGTAAATAAGTTATATATTTCGCCAAAATGTGAAAGAAAGCTACCAAATACCTCAACTACTTTAGCTACTGATACAACATTGGTATCGAAATGTTGTAAATACATGCTTCGATCCGCACCTTCTAATTTACTGCCATCAGCTATCATGATTCCTGCATTATTGATCAGTAAGTTAAGACCAACATCATCACCTAGAGTTGTTTTTACCTACAAAAACTTTTTCTCAACAAAATAACTACAAAATTACAGGAACAGCTAAGAGGAAAAACGACAACAGTGGTGGCTGGTGAGAGAACATTAATTAACAACTTGTTTGCATTGATTTACCTACTGACCAACATCACTAAAACTTTAACTACTCTAAACATACAATAACAGTAAATATAAATGTAGAAACTGTTTGAATGTAGACTTCAAATAGCTTCAATTTCAACTGAAATGGCCATAAGTACTTTATTTTGATTCTACTACAAAAAAACATCAGCAGTTTTAGCCAATTTTTTTATTTTTTTTTTCATCCCGCAGTAACACCAATAATCTGACTGTGAGAAGGGAAAACACTATACTACACTCTACCTTTCTTACAGCATCACTTATCGATTTATCTGCGTTAACATCCAGCTGGATACAGTGAATTCGCGCATCGGCTTTTGCTAACTCTCCGAGCTCCTAAAATCCTAAAATAAGGTTTCTGGTAGGCAATTCAAAAGTTGCCAACTAAAAAAGTGTACTACCTAGACGCTCAATCAAACAACAAACAATACTGTTCAAAAAAGAGAACAAACAATAAACAGAGAAAAACAACAGCAACAACAAACATAGGCAATTATTTGAGAAGATGATCGATATTTATAAAGAATGTAATATAAAATCAAAATAAGAGGAAAAAAAATTAATCACTATTCTGCAGCAATCAAATTATGCTTTTCTTCGTCAAAAAACTCTTCCCTTCCTTGCACGCTTAACTTCTGAACTAAATTTTTTCTTTTTCACTAACTAATTTCACCGTTACTGCACTCATCCCACCAGTTTTTTTTTGTCCGAAACAAACAGGTTGACTAAGATATTTCTCCATTACTTTCCTCGCTCTTTAATGTAGATAAGCAAAACCACTTTCACCAGCACCTATTTGACTCCTCCCTGGTTTATGTTATAGCACCATTTCGACTAGCAAATAGTAAACTACTATTCCAGAAAGCGTATAAAGTAGAGAAAGCAATGAAATTAGCAGAAAAATAAATAGAAATAAATTACTAGCGACCTCAGAAAAGTTGCAAAAAAAGAAGCTGAGACAGATAATTCAAAAAAAGAGAAAACTAAAGTTTTGAAATTTTGCAAACTTGCTGACTATTTATATGACAACTCTTTGCTCCAGCATTGCTGAGGGAATTATAAGAAGAAGAAATTTGACTAAAGTAGCGCTTTGCGAATAATTTTCTGCTCGACAAAGTATATAGGATCCCACTAACAGTAGTATTACGCTTGTTGAAGTGGCTTTAGCCAGTGAGGAAAGACAAGGTGGCACCAGATTTTGGCTGGACTTGAGCTGTGTTATTAAACTGCATTTTCTAATACACTTAAATTGTTTTAGCCCTCTTAGTTAACAAATTTATTTTTTCAGCTAATTTCAGTTTTATAGTACCGTTCCTACTTTCCCTTCTATTTTGATCTAATAAAGTAAAACTAACTTCTGGTCCTATAAAGTTTAAATCAGAAAACTCTATTTTACTTTGCAGAACAAAAAATCTCGCACAAAAACTTCCATAAAAAAGAAAAACTAAAAAACACATTTTTGTGAAATCCTGTACGTTCTGATTGTTTGCTAGAAGGCTGTAAAGACCATGAAACATTGAGAGATTACAAAAATTTTTGCCCACTGAAAAAAGTTAAACTACCAAATCGTATCAAGAAAATAAAACTGTAAGCTCTCGAGCAGGCCTAGCTGCGTATCACTTTTGCATCTTGACTAGACATAACATTTGTTTTTTCAGCTTCCCTTTCATAGCCAAATACTGCAGCTAAAAAAATTATAAAATACTAATGTCATAATATAAAAAAGGTGCATAAAACGCCAAAATTTCGTTGTAAGCGTTTCCTTTGGCTAAAATAAATTGCTTCTACAATTGGGTCTGAAGTTCCCGTCTCTTTTAAGCCTAAAAAAACGAATCTGTTATTTAAAAGACAAGAGTTCTCTAAACTTGCTGTCTTCTCCTCTGATGGAAAACACAAATGAGGAAGTGTAGCAACCATAAATTCAAAAGAGTTTTTTCCTTCTCTGCAAAGAATTCTTAGAAATAAGAGGTTTTTCTCTTGGGAGAACACAACAGAGAAAAGACAGAGTAAAGTATAGAAAAATGTAAACGAGGCAGAACCCTAAGAGCTACCAGAAGTTTTCTTAAGAATCTACCCCCTTCTTGTTTCAAAACTGGCTGATAAACTGAAATTTTTTGGCTTTTTCCGATTATGTCTTTTCAAACGGTTTGCATTCAACTCATTGGCCAACCGTTAAATTGTTGTCGTTTCCTCATCATTTTCATTTATTTTTTCCTTACTCTTTCATTTATACAAACAGATAACGATCAAGAAAATGTATTAATAAATTAGTACCAATGTAACGTTTTCTAGGCTCATAAAAATATGATCGACCATGATTACAACCAGTAAAGCACACAAATAACTTCACAAATATATATACAACATAAACATATATACTTGGAGATGTCATCTTATCAAAGAAAATCGCTTACGGATCCTTCAGATGGTTTTCGGACACAAGCAAAAATGTGCTTAACTTCAGGATATTTAGCCCACTGTTTGAGAAGACCAAGTCCAATGCCACGATTCGCACCGGTGATGAGGATTGACGATGGCACTAGAACCATGTTTAGACTGCAAATATACCAAATGCTGCTAGGTGGAAAACTGAAATTTCTTTTCGGTTTCAGAAAAAATGCCAAACGAGAGAGAAGTTGAAACGAAAAGGAGAGAAGAAACTGTACCATCCGTTATTCTAATCCTCTGTAACAAAAAGAAGTTACTGATGACAAAAATATTTTTGGATACATTCAATTTGTCTACAGAGTCGACGTCACCGGTGTGAAAAAATTGAAAAGATGAATGTATTCGCTAGAAACGGCGAGCACGAAGGAAAAAAGACGAAGAAAAATGTAAAATTAAAGTATAAGGAGAAGCGAACGAACTGAGAAATATAGCAAGTTAAAGGGAATTACAAGCAAAGAAGGAAAAAACAAATACGTCTCTTTTTGAAGCGACACAAACAAATAGTTTTTTTCGTTTTTGTTCTCAATTTACCAGAGCATAAAAGTATGAGAGGATGGCCTGGCCCAACTGCACAGTGTTGTCCGCTATGCAGCGTATTTAGTCTCAGTTAAAACTATAACATAAATTAAAACTCTTTTGTAAGTTAAAATATTCACAAAATAACCTTTTTAGATTTCACTGACACACTTTTACCATTAGCGACATGCCACTTTTTCTTGTGTTTGAATAATTTTCTCATACTTTACTTCAAAAAAATAAAAAAATAAAAATGAAAATACAAGTAAAAAAAGCTGAAAAAAGAGAAGGAAATCTATGCGTTTGGCTGTCCTTCCCCGATCATAAGTAACATAAAAAATACACTTTCAAATGCAGTAAAATTAAATAATGCTAGAAAAATGTTGACAAAAGTTTAAAGTCATTTTCCATCTTTTCTAATTCTATTTTTGTCTATTTTACTTATTTCTATGGTCCCTAATATCCACATTTTAATGCAGCATTACATTCTACTAATCGATCACTAATCAGATTACAATATATATAAAGTAATACCAAATTGGTGCAAGTGGGCAATAAAGAAGTGTTCAGTTGCATAACATCAAACTAATTTTGAATTCTTGTTTACTGCAACAGCAGTTAAGAAAAAAATGCAAAAGAACAAGCAAAAAATGCTGAAAATTGTAAAGAAAACAACAGTCGCAAAAACATCTGAAAGACTGGTGAAATACTTAAAACCGTCTCTTGGCAGTTAAGCATTCAAATGACTGCAAATGTGGTATCTCTCGATGAAATCCAAACCTTCGTCACTGTCATGTAACCAATAATTAATATTAATCGATTTAGAGGCCGATAAAAAACAAACAACCAGCAATAAGAACGAAAACATCATTAAGTATAAACAAAAAAAAAAACACTTTATTGTTGATTTTTGACATTGGAAAAAAATTGAAATAAAACCGTGGGTGAAAAAAAAGTAGAAGAACAGACAAAAAACTGATCAATTAGAAATATTAAGTGGTAGAAACGTTCATGTAAACAACAACAACAAAGCCTGAAGTAGAAGATCAGAAAGGTCTGAAGTAAAAAATTTCCACTGACAACTACAACAGTAGTCCAAAATTGTACCCATCAAGAAAGGACACCAGCAGAAACCAAAAACAAAAAACGCCAACATTCAGAGATAGCACTAAATTTTTTTTCAAAGATTTAGCAAACAAAAAAATTCTTTTCCCTCTTTAATTAAACAATTATACTCCATCTCCTTAATCCTTCCGAAACCAAAGACAAAGCTTTGATAAAGCTTAGAGCAATAATAGTAATAGTGATAGTAACAGTAATGGTGATAGTAATGGTAACAGTAATAGTAATTGTAATCATAATAGTAATAGTAATAGTAATAGTAACAGTAATAGTAAT